ATGCACTGCCACCTGCTCTCCCATGAGACGGGCGGGCACGACAGCACACACACGGGGCGCACAGGATGGCGCTCAGCGTGCATGCTGGCACACACAGCATGTGCTGCAGATGGCATGGTCAGCAGCACATGACAAGGCCCGCAGCACCAGCGGGCAGCAGCAGTGCACTCTGGTGAGCAACCCCACTGCACCACACCAATCGCATCAACTGCCATGGCATGCAAAAGCCCACCCAAATTCTGGATGCACTCATCCGACACCCTGTCATAACATACCCCTCAACAGCACCTTATCCCCCCTCCTTCCCCCCCTCCCCCCAAGAGCTTTTCCCCCTGGTTCCCCCTGGCCCAAGCCTCCCCCCCCGTCTTACCAGAGCATGCGTGTGGTGCAGCCATGTGCGCAGCACCTGCTCCATGTCGCCCCACGGCAGCGCCTGCAGGTCGCGCCCCTCCAACGCCTCCACCGCCAGCACACTCACCGCGTCCTTTAGCACCGCCAGACGCGCACCCCTGCGAGCACACAGACACACGCACGCAGCACACACAGCACAGCACAACACACAGAGCACACACGGCACAGCACAGCACACAACGGGGGAAAGGGACGCGTGGCAAGGTGGGCAAGCTGCAGTGTCAGGGAACCGTGAGTGAGGGCACGACACGCCCCCCCTAGTCCCCGGCACTACTCCTCCTCACTGTGTGGGAGCGTGAGCAGCAAGCAGTGTGTGTGCGAGCACGAGCAGCAAGCACGGGAAGTGATGGATGGGAGGGCACCTGTACGCGTCGCCACATTGCGCCAGGCTGCCGTCCTTGGCTATCCGCTTCGCCAGTCCGTACAGCTGCTCCCACTCGGGGCAGGTCAGCAACGCGCTGTCGCTGCCGCTGCCCCCCCCACCGCCCTTCTCCTTTTCCTTATCCGACGCGCCCTTCTGCCCCTGCTGGTTGCGTGGCAGCGGCGGCCGGTTCGAGTGCGCGCCACCAGGCCCCGGGGCCCCGGCGGAGCGGAACAGCTTCATGCTCACGGACCGCCCCACTGCGCGCAGCCGCGCCGTCGAGTCCTTGTCGCGCTCGCGCGCGGCCGCCAGCGCGCGGTCGGGGGAGGGCAGCGCGGTGACGGGCGGGGAGGAGGGCACGGACTGGGCAGCGCGCGGGGCGACGCCTGTGAAGGACACGGGCGCCTTGCTGTGGTGGTCGGAGCGGCGCGGCGGCAGGCCCATGTTGAGCGACGAGTGCGTGGTGACGGTGGTGCCCGCGTCCGACGGCGTGTCCAGCACCAGTATGTTGGGCGACGACGCTCCCGAGTGCTCCGGCGACGGCCCCGCCGCCACCCTCGCCATCTCGTCGCTCAGCGACTCCTCCTCGCCCTCTTCCTCCTCCGCCTCCTCCCCGTCCGCCCCGTCATTACCCGTGCGGTGCGGGTTGAGTCTGGTTTGCGCGGGCGCGGACGAGAACTCGCTGAGCATGGGGTCATCGAAGAGCGAGCGCGGGGGGGCGCGCGAGGGGGAGGAGAAGGGCGAGGAGGCGGAGAAGACGTCGGGGGTGAATTGGCGCGGCATGGAGAGCTGGCTGTCGTCCAAACACTGCTCTTGCGGGGACAGGCGGGAAGAGGGGGAAGCTGCGGCGGACGACGGGCGCACAGTGACCCGCCCACACGCGCTGGCAGGGCGGCGGGACCAATCCGTGACGTTGCGAATGCGGCGCTCCCATTGGCTCTCGCCCTCGCCCTCCCGCTCCCCGTCCGCCAGCGTCGAGTTGGGCGACCGCGACGGCAGCAGCAGCCCCACGGCCGCTGCGTCGTCCGCCAACCCTGCCGCCTCCGCCGCCCCCTCGCTGCGCGCCTCCTCCTCCGCACCCGCCTGAAACAACTTGCTGCTCGCATGGCGGACAGCAGGCACGCAAGAGAAGGTGGGGAGGAGGGGGGAGAAGAGGGTAGAACGAGGAGGGGTAGAAAGAAGGCGTTCAGAGAAGAATAGGGAGCAAGAACCATTGACGAGTGCGTGAGACATCGCGTGGCGTGGCGTGTATCGGAACGACGTTTATCGAGCTAACCTGGATGCATCAGCGAGAAGGGAGAAGCGGGAAGAAGCATGGAGTTGAGATAGAGAAAGCAGTAACGGATGGGAGGAGGATCGGACAGCGGCGGGCGCACGAGGCATAGCAAGTCACCAGGGCGTGGCATGAGCAGGAAGCGAGGGGACGATACGCACTGGGAGCTGGTTAATAGTTGCGCAAAGTCCGCGAGGAGCTCGTCTAGTCCGGCATCAGGCGACGCTGACGCCAGCGCTGGTGTGGGCGTGGCAGTCGCGGTGGCGGCGGAATGGTCCTCCATGCTCCAGGGCTCGCAGCTACCGCCGCTGCCCTCGCTGGGCGCCACGCTGCTGCCGCCCGCAAACGACTCGTCCTCGTCCGCCTCCTCCCGATCCCACTTCGGAACCTTCGGTCTGCGATGGCGCGCGCGCTGCTACACGTAGCGAGGGAAATAAGTAGTGGCGGGCAGGTAAAATCAAGGGTTTGATGACGTCGCACCCAGAGGAGAGGCGCTTAGGTTAAAGAACTCGTCTCTAAGCGATTTGTGCATCAACAATCTAAGGACGCACCTGCACATTACACCTCCGGGGAAAGTAGTTATACATACACAAAAAAAAAACAAAAAATCCTTTCCATCTCATGAAAGCGCATGATTACTGGCCTTTGACGTGCTGCCCGAGCGGCCAGTAAATGCGCCTGCGTGGCGCTAGGTGACTTAGGCGCAGGTGGCGTGGCAGGGTGACTAACCTCACTGCTGTCGACTGCTCCAGACCCCTTCACGCGGCGCGGAATGCACGTCGGCTGCGACGGGGAAGGCGGCGAAACAGAATGTGGGGAAAGCGCGGAGCAGTCGGGATCGGTGGGCAGCGCAGCGGGCACAACGGAAACTGGTGGGGTTCGCGCAGGGATGCGCTCTGCCATGCAGACAGAAGCGATCCGCAAAGAGCCGTCGGAGTCGACGGCAAGTGTGGTGGTAACAATCTGTCAAATAAATATTGTTAAGGAGCAGTGGCGATGATAAACCACTTTTCGTCTCTAATGCGCATCCGATGTGTCTCAACGGCCCCTAGGAACTACCTAAGGAGTTGTATAACACTATCTAACAGCTACAATGATATCGATATGTCGCAAGCGCGCCTGATAATGCTGAAAGTCCAGATTACGTGAAATGCAAGCGGCAGCTCCTGCACGGTTCACAATAAGACGGGCGCTAAAGGACGGCGTACAAGATGCGCGTCGGCGTAAGTCGCGCTGATTAGTTACTTGGAAACAACGGCGCGCTGTAGCTGATCCTAACCTATAGTCGGTGATGTCCCAACAGCTCTATTCACACTAATTTCAAGAGCCCCAAACCTGTGGACCTCAACCACGCGTGAGTCACTGCGCTGTAGAGAGGCGGCAAGGGCGGAGAAATAGGAGGGTTGGTGAGGGGAGGAGGAAGAGGGGAAGAGGGGAGAGTGAGTTGGGGTGGGGTGGTGGTGGGCCCTGGCTGGGTGTGCATTCCACGCAACACAGGTTGCGGAGCAGAGCAGCATTCTCCAAACCATCATCAGGTGGCCTGCGATGTCAACGATAGACGAAATACTCCAACGACTCTCTCGAAATTCGCAAAAATGCTGTCGACGCGAACCAGTAACCCTCTCGGGTTTGTTGTGGGGTTATTGTGGTGGTGAACGGAAAGTACCACGTTGAGGAGCGAATCGGTTCAGGACTGCGGACAAGGTACAGTAGTTCCACTTGAAAGTTCACCTGTCAACTTCCTAGGCTCGGCTGGATGTATGGAATGGCTCTTTCGTTCACACCCATTCAAAATTGCGGTGCAGCACAGACCCTTTTTTTCGCTGACTTTCGTACACGCCCTCGATGCCAAACTGCAACTTGCGTCCGCGATGCTGCTTGGAAAGGAGCACCAGATGGCATCCCCTCCCCATCGATTTGGCCTGACTGACAGCGGCGTTGTTCTGCAGGCGTTTAGGGTTCCGCACCAATTTGACCGCGGTAGCCTTCCGTGCATTTTCTAGGCGCATTCATGCTGGTTGCGTTGCGCGGATGTTGCTGCCTCGCATAACATGTGCGGAGGCTGATGCTAGCTCCCGAGGTAGAATTAGCACCGCACTAGTTGTGCGGCCATTTGCCCGGCGAAGCAACAACTTTGAACCTGCAGACGGTTCAATTCGTGCGGCCAAAAAGTGGCGTTCTGCAGGCTGATGCGTTAAATTTGGCGCAAAAAGGTTCGGCAGGACCTTCCTTATCACCAAACCTTGATAGGCAGAAGACCACTTATCAACGAAGATTCTGCGGACCCAGTTTTTGGAATTTTAACGCCTACAGAACAGCGCCAGTGTGAGGGAATCAGCCAGCCTACAGTTTCGCACAGCGCCTTGTGGAGTGGCTGAAATTGTAACACTGGAAGGGGGTTGGGAGGAGAACAGGGTTTGGTTCTCCCAACCAACCCCCTCTTCTTTGTGGGGTGTTCAACCAGAGAGTTGAGAGTTGTTGTTGTCAGGTGACACAAAACTGTTCTCTAAACATTTCCAGGGACTCAGATTGGTTTCGGGCTAGGCTGAAAGATCAGAGTTGGTACAAAATTCCATGCTGAAAAACAGAGAAATCAGCCCATTTTATGCCATTTTACAGTACAAATATAGTAAAAAATCCTGTTTCTTCCCAAAAAAAATGCTGAAAATTCAGCCTCAATTCTAAAAAAGGTCTGAAATCTCAGCCTTTTTTACCTAAATCAGCCTCTTTTCGCTGACTTCTGAGGCCCTTCACACCGGAGGCAAACTTTTTCCTACAGAACCAACAGACAGCTAGCAGCTTGCTCATTCGCATCTGCTGTTTGGAACGCGCCCTCACCACAAGCAGATGATTGCCTATTCGTTCCCCCTCCATGCTTCTACCCCATCAAACAAGTCCCTCTAGCCCTGCTGATATCTATTCCCAGAGCAGCACGCAGCAGCATGCGTGTGAAGGTCAAGCGCGTTCGTCAGCCCTGCCATCCCGGTCGCCCACAGCGATGAATGCGGTGGCGGCACAGATGAGCACGGTGCCCGCTGCACTCTTGAGGGAGAGGCGCTCCGACAGGAAGAGCAGCCCCAGGAAGAATGTGCCCACCACCTGGTAGTGCCAAGGGGGGGCAGGAAGCATGCAGCACGTGTGAGTGCTGCTCATGGCCATACCACAGAGGGCAACCCGAGTATGCTTGACTGCAGTGGCGCATGATAGTGCACAACCCACATGCCACCCAGAGCACGGAACACACAGCACAAGGAGAACCAAACACATGGCACGTAGGCACAAAACGCACGGCACATGGGGCACAAAATGCATGGCACACAATACATGCACATGGGGTACACGGCACCTGGCAAATGGGGCACCAGCATATGGCACATGCGGCACACATCACATGGCACATGGGGCACAGCATGTGGTCACCTTGATATACTGCATTGCTGACGCCCTGCCTGCCTTCTCCAGCTGCAGCCCACGTGTGAGTAGTACCTGCGAGCAACGAGCAAGTGCACGGAGGACGGAAACTTGAACCCGAAAAAATGGGAGAGATGATGAAACTAAACTCGACAGAATGTGCCGTTCAAGCGCAAGTAATGCGCTTGCCCAAGTAATGGCCAAGTAATGGCCAGCAGCGAACAGCAATAAGGTGAGGAGTGGAAGCAAAGAAGCGGCAGGCCTCACCTGAGCGGCGAAGGCGGTGACACCCACAAGCAGCATGCCCACCAGCTCCGATGCTGATGGCATCACAAACCCCTGCACAGATGGGAAGGGGCAGCACCCCCAGAGTTCTCAGGAAGCGAAAGACACGGAGGGAGACAAGGAGCAAAAAACCTGCTGCACAGACAACGTTTTCAAGCGGAATCAAAGCCATATAATGAGAAATTATGATAGAGAAGGCAGAGGCATGGGCTGGTGGAACGAACGACAGCACAGGCGAGGAAGAGAAAGGACCTGGAAAAGAAGGAGACAAATGAAGGACGCTGGGCAGGAGAAGGCTGCAAAGACGAAGACAACCGCCCTGAACACATTGGCAGGCAACAGGGGAACGCCACACAGGTAAGATGGTTGAATGCTAAAACTGATGAAACGACGAGAAATAAAAAGACACAATACAGGGCCACAGCGGCCAACAGCATACTTCCGTAGGGTCTACTTGGTGCCACAACTGAGTGGGGCTGGAGAACAACTAGAGGCAAACTAGGGATGGTGAGACGAGCAAGCAGGCATACAGTGGTTGCTCCCCTGCCTTGCCGATGCTGCGCACGAGGCACAGAGCCACGGCCCCCACCAGCGCTGCCAGCAGCGCCACCAGCACCCCCACCAGACTCTCATGGCGCTGCGATGGGTCGTCCTGCTGTGTCAGTGGGCCTGATGGGAACACGCAGCACACAGAAGAGGGCCGCATCATGCAGGATCACAACACGGAGGGGTGCTCAGAAAGTGCAGTGAAAGGAGAGGAAGTAGGGCACATGGTGTGAGGTGAGGGATGGCATAACAGTTGCAATATCACCTGCATGCTTGTACCCGACCATGAATCAATATGAAGGAACAATTGAGAAGCAGCATTGAAAGCAGCAAAACGATGGGTGCTGGGCTTGGAACATACCTCCGAACACAATGGGGGGCTGGGTAACCATGAGCACGCCCAGAAGACAGCACGCAGAGCCTGCACGAGGGATGTCGGCACACAACCCATGAGTAACGAGGCGATCCAGCGGAAAAGGCAAGTAAATCACTCCCAGGCGTGAACAGAAGACGAGCACAGGGTAGTGCTGTGCTATGTGCGCGTGTGCAGTTGCCATACAGGTGCTCTACTCGTGTGTTTCCATCTCTCAGCCATTCGGCATCACGGTGCGGACCTGCGATTTCTCTGGAGGTGAACTTCTCGTCGAGGAAGACACTGGCGATGATGGCCGTGAACACTGGCAGCGTGAAGCTGATCAGCGTGGCGTCCCTCAGCGGCAACACCTGGATGCTGCACCCACTCGCCACAGGCAGATGCAGTTGGGGGGAGAAGGAGAGGGAGAGAGGGAGAGAAAGAGGGCTATGCAGGGGTAGAGAAATAACAAAGAGCAGCTACTGCCTATGAGCACTAATAGAGTGTGTGTGGAGTGTGGCACAGAACGCAGGCGAACCTGTAGAAGAAAGCAGAGAGGGCGATGAAGCCAAGCACAGCACGTGCGAGCAGCAGCAGGCGCAGCGTGGGCGCGCCGAGCAGCGGGTGGCCAATGCGGTGCAGGCACAGGGCGGAGAGCGCCGCTATCACAGCGCACCGCACAAACACCGTCTCAAATGACGGGATCGCGTGCACTGCATGGGGCAGTGGGGGACCGGGTAGGGCAGAAGGGGGGAGAGGGGGGAATGAGGAGGGAAGGGGGGGAAAAGGGGAGGCGATGAAGGTCCTGAGGCCCCGTAACTATAGCTTGCTGTGTTGGACCTGAACTGGTGCGCCCAGGCTAGTGTGCTTGGCCTTGCATCGCCGCTCACTCTCTTCCGACGTCAGAAACACTCAACGGGAAAGAGCAGGGCAAGGGAGTTGGGAGGAGGCGAGGGCGGTAGGACGTGCGTGTGGGCGGGAGGAGGAGGGGGGAAAGGGGGGGAAGGAGGCGCGCGGAACCTGAGAGGAGTTTGACGAGCAGGCCCATGAAGCTGAAGAGCAGCGCGGACGTGAGCATGCACAGCAGCCCCGCGTGCGGCGAGCCCCCCCACAGCCACCAGAAGTTCTCCCGCACGTTCCACCCATCCTGCGAGCACCCGCCGTGCGCCCCGCCACCGCGGCTCCGCCGCTTCTCGTGCTTCTCCGCGCGCTCCTGCCACATAGCGGAGAGAGGCCCGCAATGAATGAGGCGGGAGCGCGGAGCGGAATGTGGGATGCGACGAGCATTTGGGGCATGGATACGAGATGCGCGTCGTGAAAGGCGAGCGAGGGTTCACTAAAAGCCACGGCGGACCAATCACCGTGCCAATCGCAGTGTAGCGCAGGTTTTCTAGCGCTAAGCGTGCTACACCCGTAGGGTGGAAACGCGATCACGCCGCTGAAGAATTGACGTTTTATTCATCACTTTCTCGTAAAAGTCTTAGACTTGATTACTCGCGCGGCCACCGCCGCCCGCAGCAGCGCTCACCTTGCCGCCGGAGTGACGCTGCGTGGAAACGCGGCCGCGCTCCTCGTCCGCCTCCTGGCGGCCGTCCTCCAGCAGCGTCACCATCTCCTCGCCCTCCCCCGCCGTCGGCATCAACGCCTCGCTGCCTCCACCCGGCGGCCGAGGCGACGCCGCAGGCGCGCTGGAGCCCACTGGAGCGAGCATGGCGGATCGCGCACGAGATGGGAGAGTCGAGTTGGATTAGCGTATCTCTAACTGGCGTCAACCCAACCCAAGGTCTATGATTTGAACGGATTTGGCGGTACTTGTCAGGCTCAGAACTAGAGAGTCGAGACTGAGATCCCACACCCTCGTGTTGCTTGTGTGCCGTGTGGTTACCTCCACGACAGCCACAACGTCGGCATCACTTCGCTATGTGCTGGCGAAGTAACAAGATGCACCCAGAGGTTAGGTTGTCTTGTGGTTTCTGAAAAGGTGTACGTATCCAGTACACAGGCTTTCAATATGCCGCAAGTTGCGGCTTTACCCTGATTTTCAGCGTGTATCAACTCCGTTTTTTCAGCCTAGCCCAAAACCAATCTGAGGGCCAGAACATGAAATGAGCTTGAGTTAAGATCAAAGATGTCATACGCTTTGTGCTTGTTGCTCAGCTCATCAACAGTGGAGAGGTATTTTTGCACGGGTGTTTTACAGTGGAGACATATTTTTGCAACAATCATCCCTGGCTACAACTCAGCTCTGCTGCTGCAGCAACAGTTAGGTACCACTCAAACCCACTGCCGCGGGTTCCTGCAAGCATCCAAAAGCTCCGCCTCTGGAGTGCCAGCAGCAGGCTCCTGTAAAGGCAAAAAGCAGATGGTTAATAGTGTCAATGACTGCATGTAAATATGCAAATTCTAGCTGCTTACCTGGTTGTACTCCCATCGAGCCGTAAGGGGCAAGCTCATAAGGATGCTCTCAATGCGACCTCCCGTCTTAAGGCCAAACGTTGTGCCACGGTCATAGACCTGAGGCATGAGACGAGATCAGCAAGGTGAGGCTTACAGGCATGAAAGAATCTCAACAGTTGTGTCACCGGCTGGTGCTCAGTCTTACCAGATTAAACTCAACATAACGGCCACGGCGAAGCTGCTGCCACTGCTTCTGCTCCTCCGTGTAAGGAGTATCTTTGCGCTTGACCACCAGTGGGACGTATGCAGGCACCACTGCAGCGGAGCACTCTGGAAAAAAAAAAGAACAAAAAAGCCATTTCCACTTGAGGAGTGCAGGTACGAGTGCAGGTACGATATCATGCGTTCACTTCAAGAGGACACTTACCTTTCGCAAGGTTGAAGAGCACATCTGGGTCATGCTGGTTCATGTCATCGTAGAAAATCCCTCCACATCCTCGTCGTTCACCACGGTGCTGCATGTGAAAGGTGAGGCGTAGGACAATTTCGTCAATCGAAATAAACACAACCACAAGCGCGGAAGATGCTGAGGGAGAGGCAGGCATGAGAGATGGTGGAATAAGGTTAAAAGACGGAAGAGCAACGGAGGAAGGAGTGAGAAGTGGATGAGAGCGCGGCTGAGTGCGAGGCGAAAGGGGGAGAGAGTGAGTGGGAGAAGGGGGCGGCAAGACAGTGAAGAAACGAGGAGGGAGGGAAGGGAAGGGGGGCAAGGGAGGGAGAGGGGGAAGGTAGGGTAGGGACATTGAGAAAAGAGGGGAGCGAAGAGTCAGGAGTGAATGGCGAGGGGGAGGGTGTGCGGAATGGGGAGGGGGAGGGAGCGGAACGGGAACGAATGTCGACAAACGGGTTAGACAATTTAGTACGAGTGACAACTCATAAGTTTTGCCGAAGTTGTTGCTTAGAGAATACGCTGCAAATCCAATATCGCGATTTTGAAGTCCTTTTAGTCAATCATAAAATATTGACAGGTTCAGTTATTGTGTGTAAAGTCATGCTTGGTGTTTCGCTACAAGGAACAGCAAAACAAGATAGAACGGATAAAATACGTTATAGAGCTACCTTAATCAGGAAGTACTCATCGCAGGCCTTCTTAAATTGCGGATAAAAGGAAGTGTCAATTTTATCGCATGCCTCCTTTTGCAGCTGCTCAAGAACCAGAGATAATAAGTTAGAAACCAATAGCATAACATTAGACGAACGATAAAAATCATGAACAGGGAGAGGTGATTTACCCCATGGAAATGCTTCATATCCTCCTCAAAGAGATACGAGGGAGTGATATCCGTTCCACCACCAAACCACCACGCCCGGGGGGCATCCTTCGCTCCTGCATTGTGAGAGCGTTGCGGTTAATCCGAGTAGAGAGAAGCATCAACTAGAACGTCCAAATAATCCCTAGACGCACCAGCAGGCGCGTCAGTTTCGAAATAACGATAGTTGAAGTGCATAGTAGGAGCGAACGGATTCCATGGATGCATGACCTGCACAAGAAAAGGAGCAATTGAGTAAGTGCCCACATAAAATGTCGACGAATAAAGATCGAAACGAATCAGAACGGAACAAAAAAGCAGAGATTCTTACAGAACTTATCCCGCAGGCAAAGAAAGGAATTCGTCCGTCGCCAGTGGAGCTGGCATCAGACGGAGCAGACTCGCCCGTGGCAGCACGGTAAGCCTCACGGGGCATAGTGCCGTAAACGACAGACACATTGACACCCGCCTTCTCCCACACATTGCCATTCTGAAGAACGCCGCTAATCCCGCCACCACCACCAGGCCTGAAGCAAACGTCCACTTTTATTAATAGAGCCACTAAGGAGAGAAAGGACGCCTTGCTTCTTTCAAGTTACTTACCTCATCCATGCGTCCTTGCGAAACTTCTTTCCGTCGACTTCCTCAATGGCCTTGATAATCGAGTCCTGGGCGTTGAGCACCAGGTTCTCGAAGCGAGCGCGCATGTTGGATGGATCGGGTTTTTTCCAATCGCGGACCTCCCCTTCCTTCAACAACGTGAGAGGAATTTCATCCAAAGCAACTTCCTTCTCAATTCCAACAGCAGCTACGATACTCGCCTTGTTAACGGCGCATCTGGAGCCTGCGACGCGAGAGGTCGCTTGAAAGACCCTCTGGAAGGAGCCTGAACGCGTGAAAGAAACGGCTTCATGGCGACGCGTATGCTTTTTGCTGGAATCGATCAAGCTAGAAGCTGAAACAGCCAAGCTGGTGGAGGAAGCGGCAGTGGCAGCCATGGCTGGTTATTGTGAAAAATCCTTCTCAAACCTGAATGGATGACGAAGACTATCCAAGAAAAATCTGGGACTTAGAGCTAGCAGCAACGTCTGAGCCAAAGCAGCATTTAGTACGCCACGTGGCTCATACGATCAGGCCATCTCCAAGACGCGAAATTTGCGTGCTGCGTTGTCACCCTAAAGGTGACGTGTGCTCCAGCTAGCGAATGGCGCGTCTACAGAACAAGCAAAGTGCAATCTAAGTTGACAGCTTGTCGGAAAGTTATCACCTGTGAAATCATCCACCAGCTAATATCACACTTGTTTTGCCAGTGTCAGGAATTATGATATCACACTTTACAGTCACAAGGCCTGTAACAACTTCAGAATATTCCTACCCTTACAACAAACTTCTACACCATTTCCTTCTCATTCATTTATGTCTACCTTCCCCTTTTTCCACTTTCTGTCTAGGATCATGTGATGTACGATTAAATTAAACGTCTACGCGTACAACATTATATACCAGGCATCAACCGTTTTGTTACAATAAGGAACCGCATCACGCATTTCCTGTACGTAACACGAAAAGAATCTACCGAGTACAGACCAAGAATCGGGACGAGCCGGAAGTCAAATACGATTACCACCAAGACTGATGCTGGCATAAACAATTTAAAAGGAATTCGTGGAAACTTGGAGCAATTTTTGCAGCGACTATCAATATTGGAGAAATGATTCCAAATTTGGCGAAGTGGCAACTCAATAGCGAAATGACATTACTTATGTTTGTAGAGATGCTGTTACCACCATTTTCTTGCCAGTTGACTACATTAGGCCTTTTCAACTTTAACAACACTAGGTTCCGTGCCCGGTATGTTATCATGACAATTTATCATAAATATCATGAATTCACGATATGTGTTGCTCCTGAAGAATCAGCTTACGGGGAATACATGTCTTGATAAATCAGTAAAATTGTACTTTTGCATACAGATAATTCAGTATAGGGCTTTAGGTTCAGCCCTGATGCTTCAGGATAGTGTCAAGACTCGTCCTGAAGCGAGTACTGCGGATTTTTTTGGCGGCCCTACCCAACCACCGACCTGGTACAGCGTAAGTTACGTTCCGCCATGCTCACCCTGATTTTTTTTTGCATGGTGGTGCAAAACCAGACCGCGCCCAACATGTGAAGACATCATTGCTGAAGCACACTACATGAAGCTCACGTCGACACACTACATGGAGCTCACATCGACGCCAGGGCTAACTTTAGTGCCAGAGCCTGTCTGACAGTAAGACCGGGTCCTGAGTCCTTGTCTGATGGTCAGACGAAAGTTGAAGCCTAGTCTTACGTTTCAGACGAATAAAAAGCACTTGTCAGAGCCTTCAGACGGAATTAGATAGCTAGTCTTATTGCAAGCTGATTTCCTAGCCTACGTAGTTTCTATACTAAAGGTTATGTAACGACATCCTTTCCTAAGAAGAATCACTTGCACTACTGCTGTCACTGTCATCACTACCACTACCACTGTCACCACTACCACTGCCACTCTCAGAGGTTTCAACAACTGTTGCTCTGGATTTGCCCTTCCTCCAGGTAGGCAGCTCCCACGCAGCTTCTTCTGCAGCCCTCTCTCTCTCCTTTGATGCAGCCTCTTCTGCCTCTTTCCGTGCGCGTGTAGCTGCTTCTGCTGCTGCTGATGCTGCAGCGCGCTTCTTCAGGTGATGGGACCGCGATCGCTTCACCGGGCGTGATCCTTCAGCCATGACCACCTCTCGAGCCGGCCGCCTCTTCTTGCTGGCATACCACCTATCCACAAGCTCCTCTGTGTTCAGCTCGTAATCCAAAAGGGACACCGTCATCAGGTCGCCCAGTGTCGTGTCGCACAAGCTGCCCCGCACCCAGCTTTTGATGATGTTCTGGCGGCTGAAGCCGCGCTCACACTCAACAGTGCTGAGTGGTAGCACAGCAACAGCTATCCACAGGCGGCCGAGGTTCGGATAGGCTGACTCCCATTCCGGCGTTGAGAGCATCTGCGACAGGCTGTCGTGGAAGGACAGGTCTTCGTGGTGATGGGAGAGGATTGTCGTGAAGCTGGTGAGCTCCTTGGCGGCTTTGCCCCAGTCAACACCTGATGGTGAGGGGTAGGGTAGGGTGTGGGACATCGGATATCATTGCAGAGAGTCAATTCTTGGTACGGCAGCAATAACGCAACAAGTAAAAACGCAGGTTTAAAAACAAACCGCTTACCGGGGAGGGTGTCTGGATGGTTGGGCTTCTTCTTGAACAGGTTGCGCAGCGACTCGAGCCATTCGGGAAAACGACGCGCTCTCTTAGCGCGCGAACGAGGGTGCCGTCCCTGCCGAAACAGACGGGCCCCGTCCAACGACTTGAGACTCTTCATGCGATCCTCAATGAAGAACACAGTCCTCCCAGCGAACTTAGATGCTGCCTCCACGCACGACGCCAGGTCGCCCCCAAACTTCTCCTTCCCGATCAGGTCCTCGTGCAGCAAGTAGGTGTGAGTCACGGGTTCTCCCGCGGTGTCGATGCTTTCGACCTTCACTTCGCGTTGCTCAGTGCTCCCGTGGTTCTTCAGGAACGTCGCAAGACGACCATTGTTGTCGCAGAAGGTGGAGCCGTACTCCACATAGCGACTTGTCAAGATCAACGTGGTGTGCTGCACCATCGGCCGAACCTGCGTCGCATCAAGCTGCACATATTAAAGAGAAACAGAATTAGTCTCGGCTCACGGAAAGAAAGAATGCAAGGTGTAACTACACGTCCTTACCTGTCGTCGCTGGAACTTGAGATTCAGGCTGTTCAGCTCCTGAAGCACGTCAACCAGAAAGAAGAGGAAAAACTGAAACTTGAGACTGGTAACAAGAGTGTACGTTGTCTTGTCGTACTCATGCAGCAGGACAATGGCAGCAGGCAGGACGTCTGCAAAGCGCTGGATGGCGTCCCCGCGCGACAGCCAGCGGACGTCCTTAATGCCTTGCATCTCCAGGTTGGTCTCTGTGATGACCTCCTGCAGCTTCTTGAATCGCGCATGCTGCACTATGCTGCGGCCGAGAATGTCCGCGAAAGACCGGACGACTTTGTCGACGACATTGAACTCGGGAAATTCTTCAGCCGCATCCTTAGCAGCCAGAGCCTCCCTGCAGTTATAACACGAGTAGGATTAGTCGGAGGACAGCAAGTGTCAGATACATCACAACAGTAAAAACAACACACTACCTATGGGCCACGCAGTGGCACGGCACAATATGCGGCACCCGCGTTCGTAATCGCGCCACCAAGCCTGTCTGACCGCCCGTCATCACGCTCGCGCCGTCCGTGGTCATGCCGCTGATCCTTATCAGTTCGAGGCCGCAAGCAGCAAGGTGTGTCAACAGGACCGCCTCAAGCGACCCGACGTCGCACTTCTCAACGGACAAGTTCGCGAAGAACTCGGTAACCACCACCGTGCCACGGAGAAACGTGGCATACACAATCATGTGTTTGCCACGCCTTCGGTCGGTGCTTTCATCAAGTTGGAGGCCAACGAAGGGACTGATGCTGATGTGCTGCATCTGCTTCGCCTTCAAGTAGCACACCAGCGTTTCGACCAACTGCTTGAAACCATACCTGCGTCAACGAGGACACAAAAGAAATGGTAAGTAAGGGGTATTAAGAAACCACAATGATGTGAACATATAAACTCACGTTGAACAATAAGTCCCTTGGTCCTTGGCCGGCATATCTGGCGTCCCCATTTCTGCCATGAACTGCACGAGTGTCATGAACATGACAATGGGGGTGTCGGATTTGCAAAGGAAACGCACGGTGAGAAACAGCTGTATCAAACGCCGAGTTTCCGCACTCTTATCTCCAAAGTTGGAGATAGATGCCCGCCTCTTCTGCGGGGCTTCACGCTGCTCCAATCGGTCCTTCGCCTCCCGGTGCTGGATGCTCCACTGATGCTTCCTCATCGTCTGCTTCTGTATGTCGATGCCTCCCTCGCCCCGAGCGCCGTACTGTGACTCAGGATCTGCGTACACCATGCAGATCTTGCACCTCATGCAAGGTCGACCTTCGGCGGTGTCACCGATGATGAGCCAAGGGAAGTGGCGGCTCCACTGCTACTTGGCTTTTAGCTGCAGCTCCTCTAGCGACAGAATCTTCGGTCCGGCATTCTCGGACCCGCGGCGCTCCCCTCCATCTTCCTTAGTTGTGGGATTCCCTGCAGAGGAAGGGCTTGGGCGTTTCGAAAACGGAAGCTTATTTTGCACAAATTTGGTCTTGCCAGTAAACCGCGGCGGGAGAAACGGAGAGCGGGATTGGAATGGATTTTTCTAGCCGGAACAGATGATGCGACAGGTTGACCGGATGGCGAACCCCCATGGTGGCTTGATGTGGTTGGTGATCGCACGGGTGAAAATGGTATGAGCGGCTCGGCATCCATCTCAGCGAAAGGGTACGGCTGCTCGGCAGAATCGAGTTTCTCATTCTGACAGGCCGAAGGAGCAACAGCAGCAGCTGGGACTGGAGTAGGGGTGAAACCCCCCCCGGTAAGGAAATCCAAGCCAGTGCGTGGGCGGGGCAACGCACTGGAAGGAGGTGAAGCATGCAGAGTGGATGCTGGAGGGGCCTCTGTGCGGGGGTCTACTGCCATCTCGGTGGAACTATGCACCGACTGGCTCTAGCTCACGAGGGTAAGATGAAAGTCACCTAATGCTGTGGG